CTATTTTTATTCAATGCATATTATTTATTTTGACCATCATCAGCTATTTGTATTTTTTTAAATTCTAGTTTATTTGCTTTTATTAATAAAAATGTTAAGCACGTATCTATTTACAGACATTTCTTTTATAAAGGATGTAACTATCTCTCCGTTTAGGGCCGAGGACCTGACCTACAATGTCCGCGATTCAAGCCCTAGATCGTGTATACAAGTCAGCTCCGTATACTTCCGGGAGATTAAAAATAGATTTCTAAAAATAGACGGATGATAACATTCTAAATATAGAATCCAATATGGCGCCGCGCATGCGCAGTCTTGGGGCCAAACCGTCCCATATACTACTTACTACTAACACATTTTGTGTATTTATTTATATAATAAATTTCATCAAATTGTAACCATCTATCAAATGATTGTCACACAACTAGATGTATTCATGTATCTGCAGAAATTACATTGAATATTCAATTTGTTTTCCTTATTATTGTTAATTTTGGTTTGTTAATTATCACGATAATATGATAACTTGACGAATATTAACATTATGAACGGATGCGCAGGCTGGTCTGGATCCATGCTGGTCGCAAACCCATTATGTTGGTTTTGTCGTGACACGGCTCATATCTGTTCACGACTCACTTTCTTGTATTACGTAATTATTTTGCATTTTTCGCATGCTCGTTTTGCTATATTTTGACGTGATGTCATTTGTGTTTTATAAACTTTCCTTAACAGCGCGATTAGAGACTTGCATAATATAATTTTATTTAACCGTTCAAGTTTCAAATATTACGTATTAAACTTAAACTTATTCTTCATCCGCACGACACTACACTACAATACACTACACTACATTGCACTACACTACACTACATTACACTGCACTTTACTGCATTAGATTACATAACACTACACTACACTACACTATATTACATTACATTATACTGCACTACACTATTTTACATTACACTATATTACATTACACTACACTATATTACATTACATTACACTGCATTACACTATTTTATATAACACTATATCACATTACATTACATCAAACAACTCTACACTGCACTGCACTAAACTAAACTACACCACACCTAACCTCATTACACTAAACTTAAGTACACTACACTGTATTGCTCTTCAATACACTACGCTATATTACATTACATTACACTAAACTACTCTACACTACACTAAAATGAACTGCACTGCATTACACTACACTTCGCTTTGCTAGATCATCGTCTGTCAGATTGACAAAATGCACTCTAAACATTTGAATTGCTAAATTACAATCATGTATATGTATATCACATATAAGTGTAGAATATGACGTCGATTTAATAATAAGTAATCTCTGAAAACAGATCGCCACAGACTTATGAAAGATTTATCGACTGAAATTACTTGAATGCTTATTTAATTTGCATTAAGGTAAGATATCCCTTATGCTTTACCTCCGCAATGCAACAATTACTGCCAACTGTATTGAAATTGAGGGGCGTGGGTTCAAACCATAGAAGTGTCAACTTTTTCTTTTTGTTTATTTCTTTTATTATAATTTATGTTTCTCTCATATTCCTTTTGCAAAGGAAAAAGTGTTTAATTTTAATTATATAATTAATACGGGTATTTATTGGCTTATAAATATTAAATGGAATAAAAAAATATGGTACCTGATATTTTTTAAAGTCTGTTTAAATCAAAAGCTACATAATGGTAAATGTATTTAATATTTAACAATATAAACCAATATACTTCTGACAAAATTAAGGGAAACTTTGAAAACAGCCCCTCAATTTGGTATTTTTTTGGGGATTTTTTAATTAGGCTCTCCAAGCAGAGTCAAACATCATTTTCCAGTCTTAGTGGGTTTGTCGTGGTTTTATATCTGATTTAAACCGTTTTCCACCTAATAGATACAAATGAATGACTAATAAACCCATAGTTAATAAAAAAAAAACGGTAGACGAAGCTATATACGAGTTATTTTTTTCTACGACAATGCTAATATGCAAAGTGTTAGCTTATTCTATAGAGATAGACAAACAATTGAGAATGATGAGTTTTGACAACGTAATATATTTAATACTATAGTCATGATATAATTGTGTATTTTTCATTTATACCAAGGTTTAAATTACCGTACATTTTTCTATTTAAGATAAGATATTTTTTAATTGTTTCTGATATACTTCTAACACATGTTTAGTTTTATTTTTGTTTTTATTTAAATACAATACAAATAACTTTATTGTATATGATTTGATTATGATTTTTTAATAAGGCTCTCCAAGCAGAGTCAAACAAGTGTTAAAAATTGGTGGGGTATGGTAACATTTTGTGCACATTTCATAATTTTTAACATTTCATTTTTCTTTTGTTGATTGTTGGCCGAATGTTATTATTTCATAACAATAATAAATGGGAAAACTTTTTTCATAAGGATGATATTATAGTTTGTTTAGAGATTCTTCATTTCTGAAAAAGCCATTTACATAACCAATGTTTAGTTCATAAAAATGTCCATAACTCGTAAACTATTTGGTAAACTTTGTTTAAATTTTGAATGCAGATGTCCTTTAAGACATATAAGTGACCTATGTTTTTTTATAGTGTCCATTAGGGGGGATCTTCCTTTTTTTAAATAAAAATAAAAGTACAAGGAGTGTCCTAATTGTAAAGCAGTTTGGTGATTATCTCATATAACAGAGAAACAGTGTGTACACGTATAAATTATAATAATGAAAAAATCAGTTTTCGCTGACCAAATACGCTCCTATATTAAGGACCGTTGTGTTCTTGGTATACGTGCTAAGGACATATTTCAAGAATAGTGTATATGAGAAAAAGACTTTTGCAAGTAGTAAAATGTCGGAGAACACATTTCTCTGGTTATATTACAGTTACATTTATTCTTTTAAAAGGAAGTTGTATCTTCTGAGTCATGAAAACAGCTCGTACAGTACACATCTCAAAAGGATCTACTCATACCAGTCTTAAACAATCACTAAAAATGTAAAAAGTAAGTACACGATGGATACACCATCTGCTGACAAAAAACCCCAAAACATTGCTTCAAATGTATCCTAAATACAACAGTCGACCTTTTGTTAAATAACTACTAATGTTGAGACAGGGGTACATTTTAATGAGCCAAGCCATAACTTTCAAAACATGATATGGGCTACTAAACACGAGAAAAGGCCATGCATAGCCAAGCAAACTATCAGTGTCAGAAAGGTCATGCATATTATTTTCTTTACAAATCAAAGGTCCTGTTTTATAAATTGCTGAATTTGTCAATGGCAAGTTTACAGAGGAACTAAAATAACTGAAAACATACTTTAACAAACGATGGCCAGCGAAGCGTCTAGACTGGTGTCCGGCTGTTCCATGACAATGCTTCTAGCCACAAGGCGGCCATTTAACGTGACTTTCTAAAGCAGGAAAAATGGCTAACCTCCTACACCCTCCGTATTCACCTGTGATTTCTTTCTATTTTCAAGACTAGAAAAGAACGTTGCTGGAAGGAAATATCGGACCCGTAAAGATCTTTGGTCAGGCATATTCAAGTATCTCTATTGCATCCCTAAAAATGTGTTTGCAATTTGGATCAAAAGTCTGAATTTGTGCATATCACATGCTGGAGAGTACATTGAAGTAATATGAGCTATTTAAATACCTTCTCACAAATCGCATCAAATTGCATTACAATTTGGACACACCTCGTTTTTTTTTAAAAAAAAGAGCATATGCTTAACGCAAAATACGTATGTATAAAGAAAACAATACATGTAGATCATAACTGCTTAATATATAACCTTAAACATCAAATAATACAGATTCTCTGGAACACGTGATTATGAAATAATAACGCAACTGCGTTCATTTTAAAAACATATAATTATCTTATCGTGTTACAGAATAATAGAAACACATTCAATCTATATTATAGCAATAAATAATGATGGCAAAATGGTAAGAAAAGCTTGGGGTGATTATTATTACGATTTAAATATTCATTATAGATAAGATTGCACAAAATTTACAACAATTGATGCGAAATACAGAGAACAAATGCGTGACAGGGGAATATAAGATGTTATAAATTCTGAACCAAATGATTAATAAATCATAAAGTAAATTATACATATCAGAATTACAACGGAATAAAGAATTAACGGAACATAAGTTATTTAAAGAGTGTTTAGTTAAAGACCCAGTATGCCTTAGATAAGCTATAATGTTTAATTCTTAATAATCTGTGGTATCCTGTCGCAGTTTCAAAGAAACACTCATATACCATGTACATAAACTATTGTTTGCTTATTTTGCTCTATTTGCAATGGTATATTTAATGATTTAGCACTTTGTATGAAATTCAAAATACTACTTTGTTGACAATTTTCTATGTTGCTTCATTTAAGAAACACCATTACATGTTAGCGATATTTTTTAGTTGTTGAATATCTAACATGCTGTTAATCCATTTCAAAAAAACATTATCAAACACATGTTTGGCATTTCTAAAGAATTACAAATATATAGATTTCAATGGTATAAACGTCCTTTTAAGAAAGAGTACACATGACTGAGAGTCTCTTAGTATTAAAGTAACCTATCAGGAATCCTCTAAACATTTAATGGATTAAAGCCGGACGGTAATGTTATACAGCACTTTACTAAAGTAAAAATCTACAAGGAAAACAAACTATTTAAAAAAATATATATGAAATAAAAATCTCACGGCGATACACAACGTCTGATAAAAATACAATGGCGCCCACTCAGGCGATACTACAGCGTTTTGTCGGGCCATACATTTGCAACGTGTAATATAATGACATTATACCTTAATGAATATGATAGCATGAATTATTACAATATACAATAAATGTATTAATAATAATAATTCAACAATAATATATACGGAAGAATTCTCACAATGAAATAGATATATAACAAAATGATGATTTCTATTTAAGGTTTACTTATTTAAAAATGCCACTTAATGTGTGCGTGGCAACTGTATTTAAGAGAAGGTAATTTCTTTGCAATGTGCCATAAGCTTGCGTTTGCGAAACCATTAACACTTCATTGTCTTTGTCTACAGAAACCATTAACACTTCATTGTCTTTGTCTACCATTAACACTTCATTGTCTTTGTCTACAGAAACCATTAACACTTCATTGTCTTTGTCTACAGAAACCATTAACACTTCATTGTCTTTGTCTATAGAAAATATTAGCGTGATAATAGAAACCTACACATTTTAGCATACTAATGAGGTTTTTCTTTTCGCACTTGATAGCTGTCTTAGCCGCCAATATCAGGGCAAGGACGCTTATAATAGACACAACGGCCCTGAAGATGTCTTTAAGGCACGTGGAGTCATGATTTGGTCACTCTGGAAGCAATAATGATCTACCTATTGATCCGATTTAGTTACAGTTAAACCAGTCCATTAAGTCAAAGTCATGGCTATATAACGAAAATAGCACTCACTTGAGAAGCACGACCGCAAGATATCCACGTGCTATGATTTGTTCAATCTGTATATAATTCTATGAAATTACATAACAACATTATTTTCTAGAGGCAAATTTGTCCTATTTGTTTGGCTGTTGCGGATTGACCAAAACAAAAACACGAAAACTCACGTTTATGACAATATCGCGAAACAATGGTGTTTGCCAAAGCAACAATGCCGTCGGATACCCGCGTGACAAATGTGTCTGAAGTTGTGATTATTCGTTCGTTTTGCATATGATTTTTTTTCATATATTTGTTAAGAGCACCATCAATCGTGACTGGTGATTTTGTGGATTAGTCAGGGTAATTGCTTATAATCTCCTATTTTTGACAACAGAAAACACTTTTGTTAATTTCATCAAAAGCAACTTCCAAAGTTCCAATTTCGTTGTAAATCAGAATATGGTGTTCTACTGATAAACATAGCTGTAAAATATTGTTTTTGTCCAATTGGCCAGTGCAGTTGTTCAATCATATATTTTTGGCCGGACATATTTACGTATTATTATCAATTGCTAAACCTTGGTAGGTATTAGTTAGCTGCTTTCTTTTTTAATACAATAGAGATGACTATTTGGCAATTTGCCTAAAATATTGCATGTCAAGTGATTATTTGAAGGCATTAGAAGGAATATGAACATTCCAGTCTTTTTCGTGATCGTTAAACTGACAAATGAAGATTTTTATCCTTACTTTATTCAATACATGTCTGTTGATAATCTGTCTATTCTTACCAGTAGACTTATTCATTCAAAAGGTCATATGTAGGACATTCTGAGTTCACACAAGGTACAAAATGTCCAATGATATCGTCATTTCTCACGAAAATTTCCATTCCCTCGAAACAAAAACCCAATTTCCAATTAAAAGATTGACAGCATGTCATGAGTGATATATAGTATCGCAAAATTTCCTAACTTCTACATATTTTTGATATTGGTATATTGTATCGATACAATAACAACAAAGTAAAAATATTGTCATATATATCATTCTTTAAATGTAGAAATTAAAATATGCTGATTATTGCAGATTTTGAAGAATCTTTTTTTATAGATTTTTTTAAGCCGGTGAAAATCTAAAATCTCATAAATCGGTGTGAAAAGATGAATAATAAGACCTTTTAAAGTTCATTCCGTAGGGGAAAAAGGTAAGATTTTAGCATAATATCATTCAAGCGCCGTGTCCGGTATATGGTATTTAGTGTGGTGCTCCAATCCTTTTTTTAGTCTCACTCAAAGTCTAATGGGGTCATTTTTTAGCTTTTGAAGAGGTTCATTGGGTAATACTACATGCAAAATATCTTTACAAATTTCCATGCCAAATATCTTTACAAGTTTGCTTGTTTAAAAAGAAGCATGGAGAGGTCTTTTTTGCAGCTTAATTCGAAAATATATAGAGGATATTTGTTTGTTTGTGTGTAAGATGAAATTTTATTTCATTGAGTGGGCTTTAAAAACAGTATTCTCACGAGTGGCGTTATTTTATGCTTAAAAACAAGTTAAAACGAAATTTCCATAATTTTAACGTTAATATTAAAATCTGTTTCCCCCATTGAGAGCCCCATTTAGACGGATTTTTTTCATTTAAAACAAGAAGTCTTGAGCTGAAAAATAAGTCCGCTAATCAAGGTTAATTGACGGTGATATTTATTCATTTTATTAAAAAAAATATGAATGATCGCTTGTTTTAATAATTAAAACAAACAATTCTTGTAGGAGAAAAAGTCCAACCATCCATCCATATTTCTGTTACTTACTGCGAATTTATATTAGACCTGGCTTTGTAAAATGTAAGCGGCAGCCATTTTTTAAAGTTGTGTATTTCATAGGAGGAAAATAATTGTGTAAGATTCAGAAGGATATAATTTGGATTTGTTAGTCATACAGAACATTCAGAAAAGGAGCTAGGAAAATGGAAAACTTGGAAGCTTGCTAAGGTCAGTAAGTTAGTGGTAAGGAACGCTGGGTTGTTTTACTTATTTTACGAGTGATGGCTGTCAATGCTTTTCAATTTTTCATAAAGCATACGGCAGTTATTGCTCGTAGGATACTTTAATATGCCCAAATGTCATCAAGAGCAGTTTTGCATGGGGAAGGAATGTATTTTTCAGACTGTAAAAAACGAAACAAAAAAATTTAGAGACGAAATTTGGTGATTGGAATTTGAAGGAATAGAAGTAAGTTTTCTCTCTTTATTTCTTTTGACATTTAAGTTATTTATCTATTTCAGTTTTGCTATTTCTTTTAACAGCCTGACATTGTCAGAATTGTCAGTAAAAATAAAATTGAGGTACCATATGGGGAAAATCTTAAAAAAGTAGTTTCGTCATTGAAAAAAGGGGAAATTATATTTTGATAATTTTCACTGTGAAATCATCAAATATAATTTTCACGGATAAATCAGTAATCCACTGAAAAGCATAAAATAAATGGAGATATTTTGCATAAAAGGCACAATGAATGTTTTCTATATTTAGTTTACAAAACAGAATTTATTTATATATTGATTACAATATAGTATCACAATGAAAGTTTGTTTTACACTTCATTTTTTAATGTTTTGAAAGATTATATGCCGGAGAAATGGACATTTTCTTGGCGCATCTTGCCTTTCTTTTTCTTCAGAATTCATACTGAAAAGTTGAATAATTTAAAGGCGATATATTATTTCAATTTGACTAAAGATCAGATCTACTTATTTCCTTCCTGTAGATCTGATGACGACCGTATATGTTTCGCCTTCTTTATAATTCGGATTTCCCGAGAAGGCTATTTTTAGCCATGCAATCAAACCGTTTCTTTACAGATAGACATTAGAATTATCAAAATACCGTTATCCGTGAAAATTAAACAAATTGTTGATTTTTGTTAGAAAAATAATTGTTTGAAGTAATATTTAACAAATTGCAGAGTTAGTTTTTAATGAGCAACATTATTTTGCCAGGTTACCTGTCGGCTATATGGACAACGTTTGTTTGTTCTCGAAATCGTGAAAATTACCTAATCAGTAGCGGTTTTCCCCGGGTTAAAATTAGAAACCGAATCGCTTTCAAAATTATGAAAGCTCGCCGATGATTGACTGTGTAAAATGTCACCAGGAATGAATTCGTAGTTGGTCACGGTTAGATCTAAAAGCGGAGCGTTATGTCACGGTGATAGGGCGTTTACCACAACTTCCGCGCAACGTCAAATTATCATACTTCTGATCGAGACACCGTATATTTCTGGACAAATTATTAATGGGGAGATAACCAAATTGTAGGTTATAGCTCACAAAAACATGTGTTAAACAACGATGTATTCGTTCTATGACCTTACGAGCTCGTGTATATATTATGATTAGGCATAAATTCAAGTTCAATACAAAATTGTGTGTTTCTATTGTAAATTTTAGGAAATATATGTTGTAAAAAGGACTATTGACTCGAATAATGGAGCACCGTACAACACTGAATTCAAACAACGCATAATTCTTATTCCTTTTGACCGATAAAATACTAGAACCGTTATCATTTGCACCATACTTTATATAGAGGATATTGAATGAGTGCAAGTTCAATACTGAATTTATTGCACGAGTTGAATAAAATTATATTATGCGAGCCTCTGGCGATAAATAGAATTTAATATTCTATTTATCACATACCAAAAATAAAGACCGTTTAAAGTGAAATAAGAGTCATTTTTCATTGACGCGTCCATAGTATAACGCTAACATTCAGCGCGTCCTTACACTATGTTTGTATAACACATTATGACATTATGCAGGGCCTCTCAAGATTATTTGTGTAATGCAAGGGGGGTAAGAATGCTTGATTTTTGTAAAAGTACAAATATGCGCATAGCTAACGGTTTACTAGGATCAGATTATAATTGTGGTTCATTTACTTATTATAGTCGCAGTGCAAATAGTACAATAGACTACCTTCTTTTGAACGAAAATGATTTTCATTTGATATGCTCCTTTGAAATTGGTCAATTTAATTTATACAGCGATCATGCGCCGTTACTTTTTACATTAAATGCACGTAATCCCGTTGGTCCGAGCGAGCAGAGTGATGATAGCTCACATACATATCACAAATGGAAACCGGAGTTAAACGATCAATTTAAACGGGGCATTATCGGCCGGTTAACTGATTTTAATACCGTAATTAACGATGCAGTTTCGTTGTCACATGACTGTATTGAAAATATGATTTGTAATTTTTCAAACATTATTTGTGATGTGGCTGATCCTTTGTTCAAGCATACTTATAGCAACAAGCATAAGTTGAATACAGATAATAAGTGGTTTAATGCTGAATGTGTTAACGCGAAGCATTTATATAAACAAGCACTTTATCATTTTAACTGTAATAAATCATACGAAAATCGAATAACTTTGTGCGACCGTAAAAAAACATATAAATACATTGTTCGCAAAACTAAGCGTGCCTTTATTTGGAAACAGTCACAGGAATTGATTAATCTACGTAAATAAAAACCTAGAGATTTTTGGAAACACTTTAAAAAGAATAAGTCAACAGTTGCGGGAGACATTCCGTTAAATGATTTTAAAAACTATTTCTCAGAAATGTTTAACGATATAAGAGGCACCTTAATCGATGATGTGGAATCTTTTAACGAAGAAAGTAATTTAAACATTGATAACCCAACATTTGAAGAATTAAATATACCAATATCACAGACTGAAGT